CTGAGACCGAGAGCCTGGCATGTTAGTACCAGCCACAAGATGGTGGCTTTAGAGTCAGGGTATCCTGGTCCCCTCAGCTGTCATAGGAGACCTCTTAATTCCTGACCCTCCCATGGGAAGATGGAGGTCAATGTTCTCTGCAGACTCCCAGCTAGTTGTCATGCATGCTGTGAGGCCACGAGTCCTACCCTGCCCATCCTCAGTGGTCGTTCTGAGACCTGCCCCCAGCAAGCATCTCCTGGGGCCCACATTTCCTTGTGGGGTGCAGCATCTGAGACTTCGCAACAAGGAAGTCAGATTCAGACTCTGTAGCCACACAGTGGCAGGCTGGACCTGTGGCCCTAATGCCCACTGTGCTGCCCGGGGAAGGGGCCTAACCAAGCTACAGACCTGTACAGCTGGATGCGGAGGCTCAGAGAATGTGATAGGACAATTGCGTCCATCTTCAAATTCACATATGGAAGTCTCAACTAGCAGCCACTGGGGATGTGACTATATTTGTATATTGTGTCGATAAAGAGAAGCTAATAGAAAATGAGCTCACGAAGGTGGATTTGAATCCAATACAACCTGTATAGTCATTGGAGAGGAGGCAGGACCAACTACCACACAGGAAAGACCACATGAGAACACAGAGAGAAGATGGCTGATCAAGGAGAAAGATCACAAGGGAAGTGAGTCCTGATGCCACCATGACCTGGGACTTCCTGCCCCCCCCCCGCCCCCACCAAGGACTGGAGCATCTTGTTGTGGCCCATAGTGGGCCAGCTAGTCTTCAGCCCTCAGATTGTCAGGGCAAGTCTGTAAGACCAGGCTGCTCAGAGGATGCAGGAGAAAGAGAAGTGAAGAGTCCCTGGCACAGGCTCTATCTGCATGGCTGCTCATCCTTGCTCTCCCCTCCCCAGGTGGGACAGGCTGTCTGTGTTTAGTGGAGGGGAGGAATTGAAGTGAGGCAGACTCAGGAGGAGCACTGACTGGTGACAGGGAAGCAGTGTGGGATTACAGCCTGGCTAGATTAGAGCTGAGTCAGGAGATGAGCGGGGAGCCCAATAGAGGGAGCTCAGATCTGTCTGGTGGGGGGACAGATAAGCTGGGAGACAAGGTGACCCCAGACTAATGGGCAGTCCAGAGTCATAGAGAATGGAGGAAACCCAAATGGACTAACATGACACAATTATCTGCCCACACCAAGCATGTGGCCTATGAGGGTAGACAGACCATAAACAAAAATACTAAGGAACTGAAGTCTTTTGAAAATGTGATGAAGAAAATGTCAGGAAAATTAAAGAGTTTATCAAGAGGAAGGGATTGGATCATGGCTAATATGTGAGGTATGGGTGCATTGGTATAGGTGCAATGCCAGGGCGCTACCCACTATTACTGATTGGCTGGAGCTCACTGGACACCAGGGAGGGGGCATGCACTTTCACCTCCTGATTGGCTCTGGTAGCTACCCATCAGCTCTTAGAGACACACACTCTATATGGCAATGGGGTAGCCATATGCATGGCCGATTGGCCAGAGAAGAGACATGTGTATTCTGATTGGCTGGAGAACAGACTTGGGTACTCTGATTGGCTGGCCCCACCACCATAGCAGTTACCTGCTCAGCTCCAACTCCAGCTCTTGGCCCCTTTGTCTTCCGTCAGATGCTTTATACTTTGTGATCCAGTATGGTAAGACTTAACTCTTCTTCCTCCTCTTCCTCCTCCTCTGACTATCCTTGGCCCTTTGTATTTCTGAATAAATCTGAGAATCAACTTCTCAGTTTATCACATACATGTATATATTAACCTGTATCTACTTACACGCGCAATATACATCCATACATATATTGTAGCTTGACAGGGATTATTTTGTTTTGTTTTGTATTTTATTCTGTGCTTTGTGTTTTTTCTTTTAACTCTACTGTGATTATTTTAATTCAATATAGAAAGAACTGAGGAGGCATTTGATTTTGTTGTTGTTTGGTTTTTAGTTGGTCCTGGGGTTGAACTCAGAGCCTGGGTGCCCTCCCTGAAATTTGTAGATCAAAGCCAGCGCTCTACCTCTTTGAGCCACAGCACTACTTCAGTTTTCTGGAGGCTAATGGGAGATAAGAGTCTCAATGACTTTCCTGTCCCAGGTGGCTTCCATTGATCCTTGATTCTTTAATCTCAGACTCCTGAGTAGCTAGGATTACCAGTGTAACTCACCAGCACCAGCCTGTGGGTCTCTCTTATTCTATGGGACTTTTTTTCTTTTTTATTAAGATTTCACTTTTACTTATTTTGTGTTTGTAGAAGTGAAACCAGCACCTGTGCATGCTGGACAAGTGCTCTACCATGAAGCCATATCTCCAAGGAGAGAACCAATAATGGGCTCAGGACCTGATACACTGCCTCCTGCAGGTTCAGTACTGCAATCCTGGCTCAGTTCTGGGAAGGTCTGATGGCTGATTGCTGGAGGGTTTTGTTGTGGTTGTCATTTTGGTATTTAGGATTGAACTGAGGGCCTGTGTGCTCTCTCAGAGCTTTTTCCTTCAAGGTTGGTGCTCTCCCACTTAAGCCACCGTTCTACTTCCAGCCTTTTGGTGGTTAATGGGACATAAGAATCTCAGGAACTGGGCTGGGAAGGTGGCACTTGCCTTGCATGCAGGAGGCCCTGGATTCGATTCCTCAGCACCAAATAAGCAGAAAGAAAAAAGCCGGAAGTGGCACTGTGGATCAAGTGGTAGAGTGCTAGCCTTGAGCTGAAGAGCTGAGGGACAGCGCCCAGGCCGAGTTCAGGCTCCACCACCAGACCCCAATCACCCCCCCAAAAAAAAGAAAAGAATCTCAGGAACTTTCCTGCTCAGGCTGTCTTGGAACCCTGATCCTCCAATCTCAGCCTCCTGAGTAGCTAGGATTATAAGCATGAGCCACAGGTGCCCAGCTCATCCTAAAGGATTTGTAATAGTTACTAAAGAGATTTTGCAGTGGGTGCTCTGAGCCTCTTTATTGCCTCCTCCTAGCTCCATGGCTGAAGTCCAGATCTACAGTCTAGAGGACCCTCTGTGGAAATGGATTTCCGTGTAATTCTTCTCAGGGTCCCTGGGCCTCGGGGTCTCCAGAGGCTGGGAGAAGTTGAGAGCAGCATAATGGAGTTCTTCTGGGCAGGTCTCGGGGTCTGGGCCTTGTGTGGGTGATGTGGGCTTGGGGCAGCTGATTGCGGCCTTCTGGTTCTTTCTCAGTTCGGGGGAGCCAGCGCCTAGACAACCTGTCCTGGGAGGGCTGCTTGGCTTGGCCTTCAGATTCTGCATCCAGGGAAACAATAACCACCCTTCATTCATTCAGTCATTCATTCACTCATTTACTCAACACAGAGGTTGGGCACTGGGCAGGTGCCTGGTATAACTTGGCTGCTGAGGCCACAGCTAGGAGAAAAACCCAGTCCCTCACTGAGTCTGCCTTCCATCCCTACGCCCAGGAACAAGGGGTACAGAAAGGCTGGGGGTGTGGCCAAAAGAGTTGGCCAGGCTGGGCATGGGGCTCTACTAGTTTGGCCATGCCCCAGTCCCTTTTGCTTTCAATATTGCTCCAGTAAAGTCTGGTCTTTATGCTCAGGCAAGCCCTGAAGCATCACTCTCCCAATCTCAGCCCACCAAGCAGCCAAGATGACAGACGTGAGCCACCATGCCTAGCTTGTTTTTATGATTTTGATGGTGGGATATCTGTGGACTGGGCAGTCAGCAGCACATCCCGTTTTCCATCTCAGCCCTTCCCACCTCTTTCCCTGCACTCCATAACCGAGAAGGGTAGAAAATCCAAGCAGTGGGCTGGGAAGGTGGCTCAGTGGTAGAGTACTTACCTGGCATGCATAGGCCCTGGGTTTGATTCCTCAGCACCACATAAGCAGAGTAAGCCAGAAGTGGTACTGTGGCTCAAGTGGTTGAGTGCTAACCATAAGCTGAAGAGCTGAGGGACAGCGCCAAGGTCCAGAGTTCAAAGCCCCATGGAAGAAAGAAAGGAACCAAGGAAGAAAGAAAGAAAGAAAAAACCCAAGCAGTCAACGCGGACTCCTGGAATACTACTCTGTAATCAAGAGGCACACGCTCTGGAAGCTTGTTACTAGTCTCTTGGTCTCAGGGACACCCTTCTTTTTCAAGAAGAGTCAAGCAGAGCGGCACAGAGTTATTCAGAAGGCTGAGGAGCAGGAGGATAGCGAGTTTGAAGACATCCTAGATGACAGAGCAAAACCCTGTCCCAGACAAACAAACATCCCTATGTCTCCCAAGAGAATTAGGAGAAGGGGCTTGATTTAGACTCCAGAGTGAATTAGCAGCCTGGTGGGCTGCACACTCACCAGGGCTCAGACCTTAGGGTCGATGGTGCTGTAATGAAGGAAGGTGCTACATCGGGAGACCTGGGTTCTGCAGGTCTCTGCCCCAGGCAGATTTCCTTAACCTCTTCATTCTGTGGGAATAAAGCCCACCTGGAAGCACTGCTGCCCCTACCCTTTCCTAGGCTCCAGACCTCATGACTGACTGCTGACCCCTGACCCCTCCCAACTCACATGACCATGACAGTGAGGCAGAGGGAAAGTAAAGCCTTGGCTCCGGATGCTCAGGCCTGCTGCCATGAAAAACGCTGTGGAGAAGCACCCTGGACTGTGGGAAGAAACAGGGGAGGTTAGCCTGCAGGCATGGACGGGGAGCAAAGTGGGAATGGGCTCACTATACCCCCATGGTGTCTGAGCCTCATTCTGATCCAGGCCTTCCTATTCTCCCTTCTTTTCCTCCCCAAGCCAGCCACAGATCAAGGAAACTGGTGATCAGGGATTCTGGCTGCCTGTTGGGCATGCAGGAAACCAGCCTGTCACTATGGTCCTGAGCCTTCCTCCTGAGGCCTGCCACACCTCTGCTCTCTGCTGAGTGGAGATGCTCACACTCACACACGCACTGATACACTTGCAACACATGCTCATACACTCACACTCATACACACACGCTCACACTCACACATGCACACACACCCACTCTCTCACACATTCACACTCACACTCCCAGGGATGAGAGGTCCCGTTCTACCTGTGCCGGCTCCCCATGACACACTGATGCTCAGGTTCTGAGGTGCATCTGGACAGACAGAGAGACAGACATGGATGTGCCCTTTCCCATGACAGGAGGTGGCTGTTGGTGCTTTCCACACAAAAACTTAGAAAGAGGAAGGGAGTGGAATTCAGCATGCTCTTTCTTTTCTTCCTGATCTCGGGGCTAGTGCTGTCCTGAGTGCTTCTTCCCCTGCCCTTGCTGACCCCCATGTCCTTCCCTGCCCTTGCGGGCTCCCCACATCCTCCCCTGCCATCATGGGGTCCCATGACCCGCTTTGCCCTCACTGACTCTCCATGTCCACTTCTGCCTTTGTGGACCACCAAGTCTCCTTCTGTCCCCACTGACTCCCATGTCCTCCTCTGCCCTCACTGACCCCTCTGTACTAATTGGGTCCCATGTGCCCCCTGCCCTCACAGAACCTCATGTCCTCCCCTGACCTTGTGGGGTCCCCCATTTGCCCCTGCCCTGGTGTCCCCAGGGGCCCTGAGACTTGGCCTGGCACTCACAAGATACATTGAGCTGCACGTTTCTCTCCACTGTCACCTCGACTCTGGGAAAGGTTGCCTGGCAGGTGAGATTGGCCCCGTGATCCTCTGGCGAGGGGGTGATGGGGAGCACAAGGGTGGGGTTGGCCTCGGGGTCCAGGACTGTGGAGGACGACGACCTCCAGGGGAACACAGGGGCATCCCCTGCTGACAGGCCCACGGCACCAAACAGGTGAGGTTGCTGCAGCATCCGGACTGCAGGGTCTCGGGCACATCCACGACAGGGACCTCCGTGAGCACTGGGAGACACACACCCAGGCTGGGGGACCAAGCCTATTCTTGGCTCAGGTCAGCCTGTCCCTCACCCCTACTTCCCCCCTTCCATGAAGACCAGAGGATCTATCCCCACACCGCAGGCCTCCATCATGTGGCCCTGTCCTGACCTGTGAGCCACAGAGAGAGCTGCTTGTCTTTGTAACTGTGTCTCACAGAACTGCTCTGTATTCTGAAGAAGTATCTTCCCGTATCCTTCCTCTTTGCATCTCTGATGCCCAAGGAGCAGTTGTTGTCCTGAGGGTCCCCGACCAGCTGGAATCGGCCACGAGTCTCCATATCCACATCTCTATGTGGGTTGTTGGGTTGTTGGTGGCCATCAGAGATCCATAGCCTACATTAGTCCCAGCCAGGAACCAGTAGCCAAAGACTGGGTCAGTGGAGCTCTGCAAACCAGAGTGCAAGAAAGTGCAGGGCCCGAGGACACACAGACCCTCCTGCACCGTCACAGACTCCGGCACTTCCAGTGTGTTTATCTCATGTGCAGCCCGGAACCTTCCGTCGGGGACACCACCATCGTCAGCTTGGCTCAGCTTCCCCAGCCCCTCTGCCTGTGCCTGCTCAAGGGCCCACAGTAAGGCCAGCAGCAGCCGCCACCACATCGCTGAGGCAGAGGGCTGCTGGCTGGGATCCAGCCAGTGGGAGCAGGGAAGTGAGGTGAGGTGAGAAGTTGGGGGTGTGAGTGATCAGTCTTGGTGTCAGGACTGGCAGCCCCAGGGGACGGGCAGGAATGAGGAGTCAGGAGACCACAGAGGAGGAAGTTTATGCCCAGTCGCTGTTAGAGAAACTTTGCCACTTCCCTTCCCAGATGGGGCTTAGATGGGGCCATAGTCCACCAAGGGAGACTGACACTGTGCTACTCAACCTCTGTCTGTGGCCTCACCCTGCCCCACCAGGCCAGTCAGCACTTCCTGAGCACACTCAGCTTTCAGGTCCTCTGGGGAATCCACCTGGCAGGACTTGAATTCCGGCCTGGAAAAAGGCACAACAATTGGGGGAAGGTCCCCGGAATGAATGATCATGACAACAATCTGACCAGCAGCAGCTTCTTTCTGTATGAGAGAAACCATGACTGATTTCCTCTCTGCCTTTTGAGAAATTCTCTAAGGAAGGAGGAGGTGAAGAATCTCCAGGCCAAGCCAGCATTTTCTGGAAGGGGCTGTGATGCAGGGGCCTGTAAGAAACCCCATTATCCGGGCTGGGAAGGTGGCTCAGTGGTAGAGTGCTTGCCTTGCATGCCTGAGGCCCTGCGTTCAATTCCTCAGCACCACGTAAGCAAAAAGAAAAAAGCGGGAAGTGGCGCTGTGGCTCAAGTGGTAGAGCGCTAGCCTTGAGCTGAAGAACTGAGGGACAGCACCCAGGCACAGAGTTCAGGCCCCCTCCCCCCCTCCAAAAAAAAAATCCATTACCCCATGCAGATAGCTGGAGAGTTCTCAGACAGGCATGGCTTCAGGATAGGGTGTGGCTTCTCGGGTGATTTAGGGCCTCTGAGCTTATCTTCTCTCTGTGGTGCTTAATCTCAATTTGTCTGGGGTTAGCCTTGCCGAGATTAGTAAAGGGCTCTCAGGGCTTGTGTGTGGCACTGGGATCCTGAGGGCTATGCCATAAGCTGAGCAGCCATTTCTCCTATTCTCTGCTTCATGGATGCCAGGAACTGAGCAGCTTTCCTCCCTTGGGTCCTGCCGCAGGCCCAAAAGCGCCATCTTGCCATAGAAGGAAACTTCTGACGTCTGGAGCCAGGACAAATCTTCCTTCCTTTTCCATAGAGTCTCCCAGGTATTTGTCACAGTGATAGGGAAAGTGGCTACTTCCCTGCCCTTCCCCAGGTGTTCCTGGCATGGACATGGACCAGAGACCTAGAGCCTGCTATGTGAGTACCAGCCAAAGAGGTTGGTTTCGGAGTCAGGGGATCCTGGCCCCCTCATCTGTCATAGGAGACCTCTCAATTCCTGACCTTCCCATGGGAAGATGGAGGTCAATATTCTCTGCAGACTCCCAGCTGGTTGTCATGTATGCCATGAGGCCACGAGTCCTACCCTGCCATCCACAGTGGTAGTTCTGAGACCTGCCCCCCAGCAAGCATCTCCCATGGGTCCATATTTTCTTCAGGGATGCAGCATCTGATCTTTGCAGTAAGGAAGTCAGAGTCAGAGTCTGTAGCCACACAGTGGCCAGGCTGGACCTGTGGCCCTAATGCCCGCTGTGCTGCCCGGGGAAGGGGCCTAGCCAAGCTGCAGACCTGTACAGCTGGATGCGGAGGCTCAGGGAATGTGATAGGCCAATTGCGTCCATCTTCAAATTCACATATGGAAGTCCTAACTCTCAGGAACTCAGGATGAAACTATATTTGTATATTGTGTCAATAAAGAGAAGCTAAGTCAAAATGAGTTCTCGAGGGTGGATTTGAATCCAATACAACCTGTATACTCATTGGAGAGGAGGCAGGAACAACTACCACACAGGAAAGACCACATGAGAACACAGAGAGAAGATGGCTGATCAAGGAGAAAGATCACAGGAGGAGTGAGTCCTGATCCCACCATGGCCTGGAACTTCCTGTCACCTCCCCTCCTTCCCCAATCAAGTACGGAAGCATCTCATTGCAGCCAGTAGTGAGCCAGCTAGTCTTCAGCCCTCAGATTGTCAGGGCAAGTCCCTAAGACCGGGATGCTCAGAGGATGGAGGAGAAAGAGAAGTGAAGAGTCCCTGGCACAGGCTCTATCTCTGCATGGCTGCTACTGCATCCTTGCTCTCCCCTCCCCAGGTAGGACATTCTGTCTGTGTTTAGTGGAGGGGAGGAATTGAAGTGAGGCAGACTCCGGAGGAGCACTGGCTGGTGACAGGGAAGTAGTGTGGGATCACAGCCTGGCCAGATCAGAGCTGAGTCAGGAGATGAGCGGGGAGCCCAATAGAGGGAGCTCAGCTCTGTCTGGTGGGTGGACAGATAAGCTGGGAGACAAGGTAACCCCAGACTAATGGGCAGGTCCAGAGCCATAGAGAATGGAGGAAACCACAATGGACTAACATGACACAAATATCTGCCCACACCAAGCATGTGGCCTATGAGGGCAGACAGACCATAAACAAAAATACTAAGGAACTGAAGTCTTTTCAGAATGTGATGAAGAAAATGTCAGGAAAATTAAACAATTCATCAAGAGGAAGGGATTAGATCATGGTTAATATATGAGGTATGGTTGCATTGATACAGGTGCAATGCCAGGGCGCTACCCACCATTACTGATTGGCTGGAGCTCACTGGACACCAGGGAGGGGGCATGCACTTTCACCTCCTGATTGGATCTGGTAGCTACCCATCAGCTCTTAGAGGCACACACTCTATATGGCAATGGGGTAGTCATATGCACGGCTGATTGACCAGAGAAGAGACATGTGTATTCTGATTGGCTGGAGAACAGAACTGACTGGCCCCACCTCCATAGCAGTTACCTGGTCAGCTCCAACTCCAGCCTTTGTCCCCTTTGCCTTCAGTCAGATTCTTTATACTTTGTGATCCATTATGATAAATGTGAACTCTTCTTCCCCCTCTTCCTCCTCCTCTGACTATCCTTGGCCCTTTGTATTTCTGAATAAATCTGAGAATCAACTTCTCAATTTATCACATACACATATATATTAACCTCTATCTACTTACATGCACAATATACATAGATACATATATTGTAACTTGTTTTGTTTTTTTATTCTGTGCTTTGTGTTTTTTTCTTTTAACTCCACTGTGATTATTTTAAATCAATATAGTAAGAACTGAGGAGGCATTTGATTTTGTTGTTGTTTGGTTTTTAGTTGGTCATGGGGCTTGAACTCAGAGCCTGGGTGTTCTCCCTGAAATTTGTTGATCAAAGCCAGAGCTCTAATACTTTAAGCCACAGCACTACTTCAGTTTTCTGGAGGCTAATAGGAGATAAGAGTCTCAATGACTTTCTAGTCCCAGGTGGCTTCGATTGATCCTTGATTCTTTAATCTCAGACTCCTGAGTAGCTAGGATTACCAGTGTAACTCACCAGCACCAGGCTGTGGGTCTCTCTTATTCCTGTGTGACTTTTTTTCTTTTTTATTAAGATTTCACTTTTACTTATTTTGTGTTTGTAGAATTGAAACCAGCACCTGTGCATGCTGGACAAGTGCTCTACCATGAAGCCATATCTCCAAGGAGAGAAACAATAATGGGCTCTGGACATGATACACTGCCTCCTGCAGGTTCAGTACTGCAATCCTGGCTCAGTTCTGGGAAGGTCTGATGGCTGATTGCTGGAGGGTTTTGTTGTGGTTGTCATTTTGGTATTGAGGAATGAACTCAGGGCCTGGGTGCTATCTCAGAGCTTTTTCCTTCAAGGCTGGTGCTCTCCCTCTTAAGCCACCATTCTACTTCCATCCTTTTGGTGGTTAATGGGACATAAGAATCTCAGGAACTGGACTGGGAAGGTGGCTCAGTGGTAGAGTGCTTGCCTTGCATGCATGAGGCCCTGCGTTCAATTCCTCAGCACCACATAAGCAAAAAGAAAAAAGCTGGAAGTGGCACTGTGGCTCAAGTGGTAGAGTGCTAGCCTTGAGCTGAAGACCTGAGGGACAACGCCCAGGCCAAGAGTTAGGCTCCACGACTAGACTCCCCCCCCCACCCCCCCCCGCCGCAAAAAAAAAAAAAAAAAAGAATCTCAAGAACTTTCGTGCTCAGGCTGGCTTGGAACCCTGATCCTCCAATCTCAGCCTCCTGAGTAGCTAGAATTATAAGCATGAGCCACAGGTGCCCAGCTCATCCTAAAGGATTTGTAAATGTTACTAGAGACTTTGCAGTGGGTGCTCTGAGCCTCTTTGTTGCCTCCTCCTGGCTCCATGGCTGAGGTCCACATCTACAGTCTAGAGGACCCTCTGTGGAAATGGATTTCCGTGTAATTCTCCTCAGGGTCCCTGGGCTTCGGGGTCTCCAGAGGCTGGGAGAAGTTGAGAGCAGCATAATGGAGTTCTTCTGGGCAGCTCTCGGGGTCTGGGCCTTGTGTGGGTGATGTGGGCTTGGGGCAGCTGATTGCGGCCTTCTGGTTCTTTCTCAGTTCTGGGGAGCCAGCGCCGGGACAACCTGTCCTGGGAGGGCTGTTTGGCTTGGCCTTCAGATTCTGCATCCAGGGAAACAATAACCACCCTTCATTCATTCAGTCATTGGTTCACTCATTTACTCAACACAGAGGTTGGGCACTGAGCAGGTGCCTGGTATAACTTGGCTGCTGAGGCCACAGCTGGGAGAAAAACCCAGTCCCTCACTGAGTCTGCCTTCCATTCCCACCCCCAGGAACAAGGGGTACAGGAAGGCTGGGGGTGTGGCCAACAGATTTGGCCAGGGTGGGCATGGTGCTGTACTAGTTTGGCCATGCCCCCAGTCCCTTTTGATTTCAATGTTGTTACAGTAAAGTCTGGTCTTTATGCTCAGGCAAGCCCTGAAGCATCAGTCTCCCAATCTCAGCCTACCAAGGAGCCCAGATGACAGACATGAGCCACCATGCCTAGCTTGTTTTTATGATTTGATTGTGCTATATCTGTGGACTGGGCAGTCAGCAGCACATCCCGTTTTCCATCTCAGCCCTTCCCACCTCTTTCCCTGCACTCCATAGCCAAGAAGGGTAGAAAATCCAAGCAGTGGGCTGGGAAGGTGGCTCAGTGGTAGAGTACTTGCCTGGCATGGGTAGGCCTTGGGTTCAATTCCTCAGCACCCCATAAGCAGAGTAAGCCAGAACTGGTATTGTGGCTCAAAGGTTGAGTGCTAGCCATAAGCTGAAGCTGAGGGACAGTGCCAAGGCCCAGAATTCAAAGCCCCATGAAAGACAGAAACAACAGAAAGAAAGAAAGAAAAAAAAGAAAGAAAGAGAGAAAGAAAGAAAGAGAGAGAAAGAAAGAAGGAAGCTGAAGGGAGGAAGGAACGAATGAAAGAAAGAAAGAAAAAAGGAAGGAAGGAAAGAAGGAAGAAATCCCAAGCAGTCAACGCGGCCTCCTGGAATACTAGTCTGTAGTCATGAGGCACACGCTCTAGAAGTGTGTCACTAGTCTCTTGGTCTCAGAGACACCCTTTTTTCTAAAGAAGAGTCAAGCAGAGCGGCACAGAGTTATTCAGAAGGCTGAGGAGCAGAAGGATAGCGAGTTTGAAGACATCCTAGATGACAGAGCAAAACCCTGTCCCAGACAAACAAACATCCCTATGTCTCCCAAGAGAATTAGGAGAAGGGGCTTGATTTAGACTCCAGAGTGAATTAGCAGCCTGGTGGGCTGCACACTCACCGGGGCCCGGATCTTAGCTTCGATGTTGATGTAATGAAGGAAGGTGCTGGGCTGGGAGACCTGGGTTCTGCACGTCTCTGCCCGAGGCAGATTTCCTTAACCTCTTCATGCTGTGGGAATAAAGCCTGTCTAGAAACAGTGCTGCCTGCCCCTACCCTTTCCTAGGCTCCAAACCCCATGACTCTGACTGCTGACCCCTGAGCCCTCCCAACTCACATGACGACGACAATGAGGAAGAGGGAAAGTAGAGCCTTGGCACCGATGCTCAGGCCTGCTGCCATGAAAAACGCTGTGGAGAAGCAGCCCTGGCCTGTGTGGGAGAAACAGGTGAGGTTAGCCTGCAGGCATGGACGGGGCGGGGGGGGGGGCTAAGGGGAGATGGGCTCGCTATTCCCCCATGGTGTCTGAGCCTCTTTGTGATCCAGGCCTTCCTATTCTCCCTTCTTTTCCTTCCCAAGCCAGCCACAGATCAAGGACACTGGTGATCGGGGATTCTGGCTGGCTATTCAGCCAGCAAGAAACCAGCCTGTCACTATGGCCCTGAGCCTTCCTCCTGAGGCCTGAACATACGATTGCTGTCTGCTGAGTGGAGATGGTCACACTCACTCACTCACTGATACACTTGCAACACATGCTCATACACTCACACTCATACACACATGCTCACACTCACACATGCACACACACCCACTCTCTCACACATTCACACTCACACTCCCGGGGATGAGAGGTCCCGTTCTACCTGTGCCGGCTCCCCATGACACACTGATGCTCAGGTTCTGAGGTGCATCTGGACAGACAGAGAGACAGACATGGATGTGCCCTTTCCCATGACAGGAGGTGGCTGTTGGTGCTTTCAACACAAAAACTTAGAATGCGGAAGAGGGTGGAATTCAGCATGCTCTTTCTTTTCTTCCTGATCTGGGGCTAGTGCTGTCCTGAGTGCTTCTTCCTCTGCCCTCCCTGACCCCATCTCCCCTGCTCTAGCCGGATCCCCTGTGACCTCCCCTGCCTATGTTGACTACCATGACCCTATCTGCCCTCACTGATCCCCCATGAACTCTCCTAAACTCTCCTACCCTTGTAGGGTCTCCTACATACACCCCTGCCCTTGCTGACCCTTCATAGCCTCCCCTGACCTTGTGTGGTCCCCCGTGTGCCTCCTGAACTCAGGTCCCCAGGGGCCCTGGGACTTGGCCTGGCACTCACAGGATACATTGAGCCGCACGGTTCTCTCCACTGTCACTCCAACTCCAGGGAAGGTTGCCTGACAGGTGAGATTGGCCCCGTGATCCTCCGGCGATGGGGTGATAGGGAGCACAGGGGTGGGGTTGGCCCCGGGTTCCAGGACCATGGGGGACGACGAACTCCAGGAGAACACAGGGGGCGTCCCCTGCTCACAGGCCCATGGCACCAAACAGGTGACGTTGCTGCGGCGTCCAGACTGCAGGGTCTCGGGCACATCCACGACAGGGACCTCCGTGAGCGCTGGGGGAGACACACCCAAGCTGGGGCCATCGTGGGGACAAAGCCTGTTCTTGGCTCAGGTCAGCCTGTCCCTCACCCCTACCTCCCCCCTGCCATGAAGACCAGAGGACCTGTCCCTACCCCGCGGGCCCAGAGAAGGGGGCTTCCCCATGTCGTCCTGTCCTGACCTGTAACCCACAGAGAGAGCTGGTTGTCTTTGTAACTGTGTCTCACAGAACGGCTCTGTATTCTGAAGAAGTATCTTCCCGTGTCCTTCCTCTTTGCATCTCTGATGCCCAAGGAGCAGTTGTTGTCCTGAGGGTCCCCTACCAGCTGGAATCGGCCACGGGTCCCCATATCCACGTCTCTATGTGGGTTGTTGGTGGCCACAGGAGATCCATAGCCTACATTAGTCCCATCCAGGAACCAGTAGCCAAAGACTGGGTCAGTGGAGCTCTGCAAACCAGAGTGGAAGAAAGTGCAGGGCACAAGGACACACAGACCCTCCTGCACCGTCACAGACTCCGGCACTTCCAGTGTGTATCCGTTATATGCAGCCCAGAAGCTTCCGTCGGGGACACCACCATCGTCAGCTTGGCTCAGCTTCCCCGGCTCCTCTGTCTGTGCCCGCTCAAGGGCCCACAGTAAGGGCAGCAGCAGCCACCACCACATCACTGAGGCAGAGGGCTGCTGGCTGGGATCCAGCCAGGTGGAACAGGGAAGTGAAGTGAGGTGAGAATTTGGGGGTGTGAGTTACCGGTCTTGGTGTCAGGACTGACAGCAACAGAGGATGCACAGGAATGAGGAGTCAGGTGACCACAGAGGAGGAAGTTTACGGCCAGTCGCTGTTAGGGACACTTTCCCACTTCCCTTCCTAGATGGGGCCAAGATGGGGCCAGAGTGCACCAAGAAGAATGGACAGGGCACTCCCGGTCCACTGTCTGTGGATTCACCCTTGCCTCCATCAGGCCGGTCAGCACTTCCTGAGCACACACAGCTTCTGGGTGCTCTAGGGAATCCACGTGGAAGGACTTGAATTCAGGCCTGGCAAGAAGGCACAACAATTGGGGGAAGGTCCCCCAAAAGAATGACCATGACAACAACCCCACCAGCACCTGCTTCTTTCTGTATAAGAGGAACCATGACTGATTTCATCTCTGCCTCTTAAGAAATTCTCTAAGGAAGGAGGAGGTGGAGAACTCCAGGCCAAGCCAGCATTTTCTGGAAGGGGCTCTGATACAGGCTTCTGTAAGAAACCCCATTACCCCATGCAGACAGCTGGAGAGTTCTCAGAAAGGCATGGGTTCAGGATGGGGTGTGGCTTCTGGGGGGATTTGGGGCCTCTGAGCTTATCTTCTCTCTGTGGTGGTTAATCTCAATGGTCAATGTGGCTGGGGTTAGCCTTGCCAAGATTAGTAAAAGGCTCCTCAGGGCTTGTGTGCAGCACTGGGATCTTGAGGGCTATGCCATAAGCTGAGCAGCCATTTTTCCTACTGTCTGCTTCGTGGATGCCAGGAACTGAGCAGCTTTCCTCCCCTGGGTCCTGCCACAGGCCCAAAAGCAATGGAGCCATCTTGCCATAGACAGAAACTTCTGAAGTCTGGAGCCAGGACAAATCTTTTTTCCTTTTCGATAGTGTCCCCCAGGTATTTGTCACAATGATAGGAAAAGTTGGCCACTTCCCTACCCTTCCCCAGGTGTTCCTGACGTGGACATGAAGCAGAGACAAAGACCCTGGCATGTGAGCAGCAGCCACACGATGTTGGCATTACAGTCAGGGGATCCTGGCCCCCTCATCTGTCTCAGGAGACCTCTCAATTCCTGACCCTCCCATGGGAAGATGGAGGTCAATGTTCTCTGCAGACTCCCAGTTGGTTGTCATGAATGTCGTGAGGCCAGGAGTCCTACCCTGCCCATCCTCAGTGGTCGTTCTGAGACCTGCCCCCAGCAAGCATCTCCTGGGGCCCACATTTCCTTCTGGGCTGCAGCATCTGAGACTTCGCAACAAGGAAGTCAGATTCAGACTCTGTAGCCACATAGTGGCCAGGCTGGACCTGTGGCCCTAATGCCCACTGTGCTGCCCGGGGAAGGGGCCTAACCAAGTGCAGACCTGTACAGCTGGATGCGGAGGCTCAGGGAATGTGATAGGACAATTGCGTCCATCTTCAAATTCACATATGGAAGTCTCAACTAGCAGCCACTGAGGATGTGACTATATTTGTATATTATGTCGATAAAGAGAAGCTAATAGAAAATGAGCTCACGAAGGTGGATTTGAATCCAATACAACCTGTATACTCATTGGAGAGGAGGCAGGACCAACTACCACACAGGAAAGACCACATGAGAACACAGAGAGAAGATGGCTGATCAAGGAGAAAGATCACAAGGGAAGTGAGTCCTGATGCCACCATGACCTGGGACTTCCTGCCCCCCCCCCCGCCCCCACCAAGGACTGGAGCATCTTGTTGTGGCCCATAGTGGGCCAGCTAGTCTTCAGCCCTCAGATTGTCAGGGCAAGTCTGTAAGACCAGGCTGCTCAGAGGATGCAGGAGAAAGAGAAGTGAAGAGTCCCTGGCACAGGCTCTATCTGCATGGCTGCTCATCCTTGCTCTCCCCTCCCCAGGTAGGACATTCTGTCTGTGTTTAGTGGAGGGGAGGAATTGAAGTGAGGCAGACTCAGGAGGAGCACTGACTGGTGACAGGGAAGCAGTGTGGGATTACAGCCTGGCTAGATTAGAGCTGAGTCAGGAGATGAGCGGGGAGCCCAATAGAGGGAGCTCAGATCTGTCTGGTGGGTGGACAGATAAGCTGGGAGACAAGGTGACCCCAGACTAATGGGCAGTCCAGAGTCATAGAGAATGGAGGAAACCCAAATGGACTAACATGACACAATTATCTGCCCACACCAAGCATGTGGCCTATGAGGGTAGACAGACCATAAACAAAAATACTAAGGAACTGAAGTCTTTTGAAAATGTGATGAAGAAAATGTCAGGAAAATTAAAGAGTTTATCAAGAGGAAGGGATTGGAACATGGCTAATATGTGAGGTATGGGTGCATTGGTATAGGTGCAATGCCAGGGCGCTACCCACTATTACTGATTGGCTGGAGCTCACTGGACACCAGGGAGGGGGCATGCACTTTCACCTCCTGATTGGCTCTGGTAGCTACCCATCAGCTCTTAGAGACACACACTCTATATGGCAATGGAGTAGTCATATGCACGGCCGATTGGCCAGAGAAGAGACATGTGTATTCTGATTGGCTGGAGAACAGACTTGGGAACTCTGATTGGCTGGCCCCACCACCATAGCAGTTACCTGGGCAGCTCCAACTCCAGCTCTTGGCCCCTTTGTCTTCAGTCAGATGCTTTATACTTTGTGATCCAGTATGGTAAGACTTAACTCTTCTTCCTCCTCTTCCTCCTCCTCTGACTATCCTTGGCCCTTTGTATTTCTGAATAAATCTGAGAACCAACTTCTCAGTTTATCACATACATGTATATATTAACCTGTATCTACTTACATGCACAATATACATCGATACATATATTGTAGCTTGTTTTGTTTTTTCATTCTGTGCTTTTTGTTTTTTTCTTTTAACTCTACTGTGATTATTTTAAATCAATATAGTAAGAACTGAAGACGCATTTGATTTTGTTGTTGTTTGGTTTTTGGTTGGTCACGGGACTTGCACTCAGAGCCTGGGTGCTCTCCCTGAAATTTGTTGATTAAAGCCAGAGCTCTAATACTTTGAGCCACAGTACCACTTCAGTTTTCTGGAGGCTAATGGGAGATAAGAGTCTCAATGACTTTCCTGTCCCAGGTGGCTTCGATTGATCCTTGATTCTTTAATCTCAGACTCCTGAGTAGCTAGGATTACAGTGTAACTCACCAGCACCAGGCTGTGGGTCTCTCTTTTTCCTGTGTGACTTTTTTTCTTTTTTATTAAGATTTCGCTTTTACTTATTTTGTAGAATTGAAACCAGCACCTGTGCATGCTGAACAAGTGCTCTACCATGAAGTCTTATCTCCAAGGAGAGAAACAATAATGGGCTCTGGACATGATACACTGCCTCCTGCAGGTTCAGTACTGCAATCCTGGCTCAGTTCTGGGAAGGTCTGATGGCTGATTGCTGGAGGGTTTTGTTGTGGTTGTCATTTTGGTATTGAGGAATGAACTCAGGGCCTGGGTGCTATCTCAGAGCTTTTTCCTTCAAGGCTGGTGCTCTCCCTTTTAAGCCACCGTTCTACTTCCATCCTTTTGGTGGTTAATGGGACATAAGAATCTCAGGAACTGGACTGGGAAGGTGGCTCAGTGGTAAGAGTACTTGCCTGGCATGGGTAGGCCTTCGGTTCAATTCCTCAGCACCACATAAGCAGAGTAAGCCAGAAATGGTACTGTGGCTCAAGTGGTTGAGTACTAGCCATAAGCTGAAGCTGAGGGACAGTGCCAAGGCCCAGAATTCAAAGTCCCATGAAAGACAGAAACAACGGAAAGAAAGAAAGAGAAGGAAGCTGAAGGAAGGGAGGAAGGAACGAAAGAAAGAAAGAAAGAAAGAAAGAAAGAAAGAAAGAAAGAAAGAAAGAAAGAAAGAAAGAAAGAAAGAAAGAAAGAAAGAAAGAAAGAAAGAAAGAAAGAAAGAAAGAAAGAAAGAAAGAAAGAAAGAAAGAAAGAAAGAAAGGAAGGAAGGAAGGAAGGAAGGAAGGAAGGAAGGAAGCAAGCAAGGAAGGAAGGAAGCAAGGAAGCAAGGAAAGAAGGAAGGAAGGAAGGAAGGAAGGAAGGAAGGGAAGAAGGAAGAAAACCCAAGCAGTCACCGCGGCCTCCTGGAATACTACTCTGTAATCATGAGGCACCCGCTCTGGAAGCTTGTCACTAGTCTCTTGGTCTCAGGGACACCCTTTTTTCTAAAGAAGAGTCAAGCAGAGCGGCACAGAGTTATTCAGAAGGCTGAGGAGCAGGAGGATAGCGAGTTTGAAGACATCCTAGATGACAGAGCAAAACCCTGTCCCAGACAAACAAACATCCCTATGTCTCCCAAGAGAATTAGGAGAAGGGGCTTGATTTAGACTCCAGAGTGAATTAGCAGCCTGTGGGCTGCACACTCACCGGGGCCCGTACCTTAGGGTCAATGATGCTGTAATGAAGGAAGGTGCTACATCGGGAGACCTGGGTTCTGCAGGTCTCTGCCCGAGGCAGATTTCCTTAACCTCTTCATTCTGTGGGAATAAAGCCCGCCTGGAAGCACTGCTGCCCCTACCCTTTCCTAGGCTCCAGACCTCATGACTGACTGCTGACCCCTGACCCCTCCCAACTCACATGACCATGACACTGAGGCAGAGGGAAAGTAAAGCCTTGGCTCTGGATGCTCAGGCCTGCTGCCATGAAAAACGCTGTGGAGAAGCAGCCCTGGCCTGTATGGGAGAAACAGGTGAGGTTAGCCTGCAGGCATGGAAGGAGGCTAAGAGGGAATGGGCTCGCTATTCCCCCATGGTGTCTGAGCCTCATTCTGATCCAGGCCTTCGTATTCTCCCTTGTTTTCCTTCCCAAGCCAGCCACAGATCAAGGACTCTGGTGATCGGGGATTCTGGCTGCCTATTGGGCCTGCAGGAAACCAGCCTGTCACTATGTTCCTGAGCCTTCCTCCTGAGGCCTGCCACACCTCTGCTCTCTGCTGAGTGGAGATGGTCACACTCACACACTCATACACTTGCAACACATGCTCATACACTCACACTCATACACACATGCTCACACTCACACATGCACACACATACCCTTTTACACATTCACACTCACACACCCAGGGATGAGAAGTCCCGTTCTACCTGTGCCGGCTCCCCGTGACACACTGATTCTCAGGTTCTGAGGTGCATCTGGATAAACAGAGAGACAGACATGGATGTCTCCTTTCCCATGAGAGGAGGTGGCTGTTGGTGCTTCAACACAAAAACTTAGAAAGAGGAACGGAGTGGAATTCAGCATGCTCTTTCTTTTCTTCCTGATCTCGGGGCTAGTGCTGTCCTGAGTGCTTCTTCCTCTGCCCTCCCTGACCCCATCTCCCCTGCCCTTGCCAGGTTCCCTGTGACCTCTCCTGCCTACATTGACCACCATGATCCCATCTGCCCTCACTGATCCCCCATGAACTCTCCTAAACTCTCCTACCCTTGTAGGGTCTCCTACATACACCCCTGCCCTTGCTGACCCTTCATAGCCTCCCCTGACCTTGTGTGGTCCCCCGTGTGCCTCCTGAACTCAGGTCCCCAGGGGCCCTGGGACTTGGCCTGGCACTCACAGGATACATTGAGCCGCACGGTTCTCTCCACTGTCACTCCAACTCCAGGGAAGGTTGCCTGGCAGGTGAGATTGGCCCCGTGATGCTCCGGCGATGGGGTGATAGGGAGCACAGGGGTGGGGTTGGCCCCGGGTTCCAGGACCGTGGGGGACGACGAACTCCAGGAGAACACAGGGGGCGTCCCCTGCTCACAGGCCCACGGCACCAAACAGGTGACGTTACTGCAGCGTCCAGACTGCAGGTTCTCGGACACATCCACGACAGGGACCTCCGTGAGCACTGGGGGAGACACACCCAGGCTGGGGCCATCGTGGGGACAAAACCTGTTCTTGGCTCAGGTCAGCCTGTCCCTCACCCCTACCTCCCTCCTGCCATGAAGACCAGACGACCTGTCCCCACCCCGCGGGCCCAGGGATGGGCGCCTCCCCCATGTGTTCCTGTCCTGACCTGTGAGCCACAGAGAGAGCTGCTTGTCTTTGTAACTGAGTCTCACAGACTTGCCCTGTATTCTGAAGAAGTATCTTCCCGTGTCCTTCCTCTTTGCATCTCTGATGCCCAAGGAGCAGTTGCTGTCCTGCGGGTCCCCGACCAGCTGGAATCGGCCACGGGTCTCCATATCCACATCTCTATGTGGGTTGTTGGGTTGTTGGTGGCCACCAGAGATCCATAGCCTACATTAGTCCCAGCCAGAAACCAGTAGCCAAAGACTGGGTCAGTGGAGCTCTGCAAATCAGAGTGGAAGAAAGTGCAGGGCTGGAGGACACACAGACCCTCCTGCAAGGTCACAGACTCTGGCACTTCCAGTGTGTATATCCCATATGCAGCCTGGAACCTTCTGTCAGGGACACCATCGTCAGTTTGGCTCAGCTTCCCCGGCTTTCTGCCTGTGCCTGCTCAAGGGCCCATGGCAAGGGCAGCAGCAGCTGCCACCACATCACTGAGGCAGAGGGCTGCTGTCTGGGATCCAGCCAGGTGGGAGCAGGGAAGTGAGGTGAGGTGAGAAGTTGGGGGTGTGAGTGATCGGCCTTGGTGTCAGGACTGACAGCGCCATAGGACATGCAGGAATGAGGAGCCAGTTGACCACAGAGGAGGAAGTGCATGTCCAGTCACTGTTAGAGAAACTTTCCCACTTCCCTTCACAGATGGGGCCATAATACACCAAGAAGGACGGACACTGTGCTCCCCGCCCTCTGTCTGTGGCCTCACACCTGCCTCCATCAGGCCAGTCAGCACTTCCTGAGTACACACAGCTTTCGGGTGCTCTAGGGAATCCACCTGGCAGGACTTGAATTCAAGCCTGACAGGAAGGCAATACATTTGGGGGAAGGTCCCCTGAACGAATGACCATGACAACAACTCCACCAGCAGCTGCTTCTTTCTGTACAAGACCAACCTTGACCGATTTCATCTCTGCCTTTTGAGAAATTCATTAAGGAAGGAGAAGATGGAGAAACTCCAGGCCAAGCCATCATTTTCTAGAAGGGGCTGTGATGCAGGGGTCTGTAAGAAACCCCATTATCCCATGCAGACAGCTGGAGAGTTCTCAGACAGGCATGTCTGAGTGTGTGGCTTCTCGGGTGATTTGGGGCCTCTGAGTTTATCTTCTCTCTGTGGTGGTTAATCTCAATGATCAATTTGGCTGGGGTTATCCTTGCTGAGATTAGTAAAGGGCTCTTCAGGGCTTGTGTGCAGCACTGGGATCTTGAGGCCTATGCCATAAGCTGAGCAGCCATTTCTCCTATTCTCTGCTTCCTGGCTGCTAGGAACTGAGCTGCTTTCCTCCCCTGGGTCCTGCCACAGGCCCAAAAGCAATGGAGCCATCTTGCCATAGAAGTCTGAAGTCTGGTGTCAGCACAAATCTTCCTTCCTTTTCGATAGTGTCTCCCAGGTATTTGTCACAGTGATAGGGAAATTGGCTACTTCCCTGTCCTTCCCCAGGTGTTCCTGGCATGGACATGGAGCAGAGAAAAAGACCCTGGCATGTGAGCACCAACCACACGATGTTGGCTTTGGAGTGAGGGGATCCTGGCCCCCTCATCTGTCCCAGGAGACCTCTCAATTCCTGACCCTCCCATGGGAAGATGGAGGTCAATGTGCTCTGCAGACTCCCAGCTGGATGTCCTAAATGCCGTGAGGCCAGGAGTCCTACCCTGCCCATCCTCAGTGGTCGTTCTGAGACCTGCCCCCAGCAAGCATCTCCTGCGGCCCACATTTCCTTCTGGGCTGCATCATCTGAGACCTCGCAGCAAGGAAGCCAGAGTCAGACTCTGTAGCCACACAGTGGCCAGGCTGGACCTGTGGCCCTAATGCCCTCTGTGCTGCCCGGGGAAGGGGTCTAGCCAAGCTGCAGACCTGCACAGCTGGATGCGGAGGCTCAGGGAATGTGATAGGACAATTGGGTACATCTTCAAATTCACATATGGAAGTCCTAACACTCAGGAACTCAGGATGTGACTTTATTTGTATATTGTGTCGATAAAGAGAAGCTAATTGAAAATGAGCTCACGAGGGTGGATTTGAATCCAATACAACCTGTATAGTCATTGGAGAGGAGGCAGGACCAACTACCACACAGAGAAGGCCACATGAGAACACAGAGAGAAGACGGCTGATCAAGGAGAAAGATCACAGGAAGACTGAGTCCTGATCCCACCATGGCCTGGGACTTCCTGCCGCCCCCCCATCAAGTACTGGAGCATCTTGTTGTGGCCCATAGTGGGCCAGCTAGTCTTCAGCCCTCAGATTGTCAGGGCAAGTCTGTAAGACCAGGCTGCTCAGAGGATGCAGGAGAAAGAGAAGTGAAGAGTCCCTGGCACAGGCTCTATCTCTGCATGGCTGCCACTGCATCCTTGCTCTCCCCTCCCCAGGTGGGACAGGCTGTATGTGTTTAGTGGAGGGGAGGAATTGAAGTGAGGCAGACTCAGGAGGAGCACTGGCTGGTGACAAGGAAGCAGTTTGGGACTCAGCCTGGCCAGATCAGAGCTGAGTCAGGTGATGAGTGGAGAGCTCAGATCTGTCTGGTGGGTGGACATCTAAGCTGGGAGGCAAGGTGAACCCCAGACTAATGGGCAGGTCCAGAGCCATAGAGAATGAAGGAAACCCCAAAATATCTGTCCAGGGAATAGAGAGCATAAACAGAAATACTAAGGAACTGATGCATTTTGAAAATGTGATGAAGAAAATGGTAAAATTAGCAGAGTTTATCAAGTGGAAGGGATTGGATCAGGGTTAATGTATAAGTTGTGGTTGCATTGGTGCTGGTGTAATCCCAGGGCGCTGCCCACCATTACTGATTGTCTGGAGCTCACTGGACATCAGGGAAGGGGCATGCACTTTCAGCTCCTGATTGGCTCTGGTGCTATCCGTCAGCTCCAAGAGGTATATACTCCAATTGGCTATGGGATAGTGCTGTGCACTGCTGATTGGCTGGAGAAGAGACAAGTGTAGTGTGATTGGCTGGAGAACAGACTTGGCTACTCTTATTGGCTGGCCCCACCTCCACAGAAGTTACCTGATCAGCGCCAACCCCAGCTCTTGGCCCCTTTGTTTTCAGATTCTTTTTTGTTTGTTTGTTTGTTTTTTGTTGGTTTGGGAGTCTGAACTCTGGGCCTGGACACTGTCCCTCAGTGATTTAGCTCAAGGCTAGCACTCTACCACTTGAGCCCAGGGCCACTTCCAACTTTTTCTGTTTATTTGGTGCTGAGGAATTGAACCCAGACCCTCATGCATGCAAGGCAAGCACTCTACCACTGAGCCACCTTCCCAGCCCCATTTAGTCCGATTCTTTATACTGTGTGATCCAGTATCATAAGAAATGTTAGTCTGAACTCTTCTTCCTCCCTCTCCCCCTCCTCTTCCTCCTCCTCTTTCCACTAATACTCCTCCTCTTCTTCCTCCTCCTCCTCTGACTATCCTTGGCCCTTTGTATTTTTGAATAGATTTGAGAATCAACTTCTTAGTTTATCATACACATGTACATATTAACCTGTATCTATTTACATGCACAATATACTTATACATATATACATATATTGTAGTTTGACAGGGATTATTTTATTGTTTTGTTTTTTTTATTCTTTGCTTTGCTTTTTTTTTACTTTACTGGGATTATTTTTAATCAATATATGGTAAGAACTCGAGGCATTTGATGTTGTTGTTCTTGTTTGTTTGTTTTTGGTTGGTCATGGGGCTTGATCTCAGGACATGATTTATTCATCTAAGACAGCCACTTTCAGCCACACACCACTTCAGTTTTCTGGAGGCTAACTGGAGATAAGAGTCTCATGGACTTTCCTTCAATCCTTGACCCTGTACTCTCAGCCTCCTGAGTAGCTAGTATTACAGGTATGAGCCACCAGTGGCAAGCTTCTGGTGACTTTTATTTGTTTTTGTTGTGGCAGTTCTAGAGTTTGAATGCAGGGTCTCAAGCTTACTCAGCTGGTCATCTAAGCACTTGAACCATGCCTCCAGTCCTGCTTTTTGTTGGTTAATTGGAGATGGTTTCTCTTAAACTTTTCTGTTTGGATTGGCTTCAAATGATAATCCTCCAGATCTCAGCCTCCTGAGTAACTAAGATCACAAGCGTGAGCCACTAGCACCTACTTTGTCTTTCACTGAATATTGTTTTAGTATAGTATCCTCCTGCCTCAGCCTTCCCAAGGGCTGGGACTACAAGATACACTGTCATAAATCATTTCAAATAGCTACCATTTCTTTACATTTTTAAATGTGGGAATATTTTAAATCCTCTCTTTTCAATATTCTGAATACACATTGCTCTGTCATCAGTGACCATGCAGAAAAACCTACAGGACATTTTGTTTTTCAATCATGGGGCTTGAACTCTGGGCCTGGGCACTGTCCTTCAGTTCTTTAGCTCCAGCTCTACCCCTTGTGATACAGAGCCATTTCCAGTGTCCTGGTGGTTCACTGGAGATAAGAGTGTCATGGACTTTCTTGCCTCGGCTGGCTTTGAACTGTGATCCTCAGATCTCAGCTTCCTGAGTAGCTAGGATTACAGGCATGAGCCACCAGTGCCCAGCCCAGAGGACATTTTTAAGTGAAATAAACCAGGCACAGAGGGAGACATATCCTGCACAATCTCACTCACATGTGATTTTAAAACATAAACTCACAGAGGTGGAGGGTAGGATGGGGTTGCCAGGGTCTGTAGGGCTGGCGAACAGAGGAAAGATCCAGCAACAGCCTAGAGGTACCATGTGGCGGGGGGAAGGGGCTGTAGCTTCCCCCCCCCCCACCCCCGCCCTCTGCCCGGTGGATGCCATGATCCTTCCAGCCAGGACCAAGCCTCTCTAGCTTGTCACGTGTGAGTCTGTATTTCTGCATACTCGCTCTGCATGGCGGGCTGGCCCTGTGGCTCCTTGGGCTTCCTCCCCTGAAAGCTGAGCGTCGCGTAGTGGATCTCATCTACCTCTACGTAGTGGGCATCACCTTCCTTGGAAGAGGAAACCTTGGGAGGCTGGCACAGGAAACTGTCCTCTGCTTCAGATTTGGTCTTGGGGCCCTGGGGGCAGAGCATGTGGAAGTCAGAGGAGGACAGGGGAGTAGGATCAGGAAGGGGGTTCCAGTGGACTGGGGGTCCCTTCATCCACACAT